CGATGGGCGGCTGCAGTGTGAAGAGCCCACGGACCAGGCGGACCTGGCCGAGGCGGCGCTGCTGACCAAGGCGCTCCGCCCCAGCCGCCTCCCGCCTCCGGCCAGGGCAGAGTCAAGTCGCTGCCCGGGCTCAGCACCCTGAGGGCGACCCGCGTCCTAGCACCAAGCGCTCAAGCTGACGCCCCTGCACCTCAGGCCGCGGCCCGGCATGCTCGGGGCAGGGCCCAGCCCTGGTCTGGGAGAGACGGGCCTCACCTCTCCTTCTTCAGTGAAAATAGAGTCTGCTTTGCGGGGGTCAAAGTGCTTGATCAACAAACTCTTCAAGTGATTCTCCACAGTTTCCTGGACCTGCACAGGCTCCACACCTAGAACCAGAGCCAGGCGGCGCGGCATCACGCCACGGGCTGTGCTGCTTCCCCAAGAGGACGGAGAGCCGCACCGCGCTGGCCACGCTGGGCTCTGGCTGCCTACAGCTACCCGACACCGACCGTCAGGCTAAGACGCACAATGGCCGGGGCAGACGAGAGCGCCTGTGCGCGCGGCCAGGAGCGACTCCCGCAACCCTCTCTGCGACCAGGCGGGGAGGCGCCCAGCAGCGGGTGACGGCGGGGTGACGGCACGGTGCCCCGCTGGGTGGGTTTACAGTAAGCCCACGCTGGTCACAGCCAGGCAGACACGGCCGCCACTGCCGCGGGCTGCGACGCACCCTGCTCGGGGGACCCCGCAGGGGGTGACCCGCCGCAGCCCTGGGGGTGCGCAGGCGAGAGGTCGGGTCTCCCGGAGTCGCACAGGCCAGCGGGCCGGAGGGCTTTCCAGGGGTCGGGGCCACCGCACCTGTCTGGATGAGCCACTCGGCCAGCAGGTTGACGGTCTGGGCCACGGCCGTGTAGTTCTCCGACAGCAGCTGGATGACGTTCTCCGGGGACCCTCCGGCCTGGAAGTACCTAGGAAGGAGCCCGGAGCCCGCGAGGCAGGCGGCGCGGAGCGGCACGGTCAGGGCCGGGCCCTCGGGGGCGTCGCGCCGCGGCCCCCAGCCCTGCCCTCAGTACCGCTTCAGCGTGTTGAAGATGGACGGCTCCATGATGTAGTCGCGGGTGGAGAACCTGCGCAGGCACTCCTGCTGCACCTCCGCGTCGTCCTCGCCCTCCCCGGAGTCGTCCTCCTGCCGGCACGGTCGGGCGTGAGCGGGCGCCCCGGGACCCCCTTCTGCCTGCCAACGCGGCTCCTCACGGCCTGCGCGCCCCTCACGCCACCGGGCAGGCGGGCAGGGCGGCGGGACAAGGGCCGGCACCCCGCACTCAACTTTGGAAATGCAGCGCCCGCCTGTGCCTGGTGGGCATGGCCAGACCGTGGCTCCTCGTCAGCTCCCTGTCGCGCCTACGAGCCACTCAGCACGCCCGACAGAGCGGCGAGGTGGCTGGGGACGGCGTCCGCCACCGGCCTGCCGTCAGAAAGACGCCGACACCGACGCCTCGCCCCAGCGTGGCCGCAGCCGCCAAGTCCGCGGCCTAGACGGCGACGCCTGGCCTCACAGCGCTCATCCCGCCAGAAACCTCGGAAAGTGGCAGCAAGTCACGGCCTCTTCTGCCGAAGTTCAGGGACCAAGATTTGGGCGCCGGCGCCGCAGACCGGGTGGCCAGGCCGCGGCCTCCGGTTTTCTCCAAGTGAGACTGTCGGCTCCCCGCCGGCCGTTAAAAGATGCAGTTTACGGCCGCCTCCCCCAGGTGCGGGGCTGGGCCGGGCTCGAGGCCCGTGGCCGCCTGGCGCCTGCCGGAGGTGTGCCGTCCTCGGGGGCCTTCTCTGGCCAGGCCGCCCCCGGCACACCCGGCAGGCGGCCCGCACCGAGGTCCGCTGCCGCTCCAAACTGACCTGCGCCCACCTGCCCCATCCTTCCCTCTGAGGAGCCCTCTCCCACGCAGACGGCCGTGAGTCCCGGTAGCAGCTCCAGCGCCAGGCGTGGGCTCTGCACTGCGCCCCTCACGCCCCTCAGGCCACACACCGCTGACCAGGGGCTTCCTGTCTCGGCCGGTGCTTATTTTGCGCCTGCCGGTGACGGCACTACCCCAAGGCCTGCCGCCCACGCTGCCCAGCCACGCCGCCCAGGGAGGCCGCGGTCTGCCGTCTCGTTCAGAAGTCACCTGAGCTGCAGCACGCCCGCGCCCTCCCACCGTGCCCTGGTCAGTCTCAGCTCCGATGCCCTGGGGCAGCCTGCGCAGGGCTTTGCTGCTTGCGCTTCAACAGCTCTCCCTGCCCGTCATCTGGACGCGACAGCCTCCCCCGGTCCCCAACGAGGGCTAGAGAGCCGACTCGGGGTCCGATGCTCTGCGCCCCTCCGCCACGCAGCGTCAGACGAGCCTGAAGGCCGCCTGTCACCCACAGGCCCCAGGGCCAGCGGGCTTGGAGGACTCAAGCTCTCTCCAGACTCCGCCGCCTACCTCCTGTCGGGAGGGCTGAGGCCTGGCTCGCCGTTCCCACCTGCCACGCCAGGCCACTGGACAGCTGCGCCACAGAATGGGGGCGCTGGGCTAAATGGCCCTTCACCTGCCCGGTTGCAGCGCTGACCCGAGGCTACGCGGCCAGGCCGTGACACGGAGCAGGACCTGCAGCACCAGCCCACCGCGGCTCAGCCACGCCTACACTGTTCCCACCTGACCCACTTTGCTTGCCCCAAAGTCTGACAAAGATGCAGTGGAGACCAAAAACCCGTTTCTGGGTTTCCTGAGTTGGGCACCTCACTTTCTTCATTTACAAAATGAGCAGTTAACACCCAGCGCAGGGCCGCGGCCGGAGTGATGCAGGAAAGCAGCTCTCAGTGAGGGAAACCTGCCTCTCCACCTGCGGGACCCCGACAGCACGGGAGACCAACCTGCGATCTCAGGCGACCTCCCTGCAGGGCTCTTCCCGCCCCGCCCCTCCGCAGGGCAGCAGCCTCCTGCCCTCCCTGCCTGCACCTGCCAGGGCTTCTCTGCACTGACCCCCTCAGCGGAGGCCGCTCTCCAGGGAATGCCCCCTGCGGCCACGCAGCCTCTCTGCAGGCCTGTCCCTTTGGGGCAGCTCTGCCTGCCCGCGGGTGCCCATGCAAGTGTCCAACACTCCAGTCCCTTCCCTAATAAACCTGCTCCTTGAATAGAACCGAGTCCGGGTCTCATGGAGAAACTGGCCTGGGAAAGGGCGCTCTGGGGACACCTTCACAAAGCGAGCCAGGCACCCCACATGAACTCCAAAACACTAGGCACACCCCCCACCCTGGCCAGCAGGGGTCCAGGCCAGGGGCGGCGACGCTGCAAGTGCGCAGGCGCCAGGTGGTCCGGGCGGGCCAGAGGTCAGAAGGCCCCCACCCTCCTGGCCGGCACCCCAAGCCCTGACGCAAGAAGGGGGCTGCTTCCCTGCCCCAGGGGTGGTGGGCTCAGCCTCCAGGTTGTTTCCCATGACGGTAACATGCCTGCGCCCACGTCCCATGCGGGCTCTCGAGGAGGCTAATGTGGATGTTCTGGAAGGTTAAACGCAAAACAGAGCCACGTGGCCCCGGCGTCGGGGTGCGCCCCCGGGGGCGAGCGGTCAGCGATGGCCCCGGGTGTGGGGCCGGCGGG